GGGGGGGGGGGGGGGGGGGGGTGAATAGGTTTTCGGATTGTCGGATTCCGCCAAAAAAATTGTTCGGATTTCCGATTTGGTGAATATTTTACACGGATTTGCAGATTGCATGATCTAATATTTTGGCTCGGATTGTGGATTTTGCTCACAATTTAGTTCGGATCCGGGATTGTGACTTCATAGTAGAGCTTTTAGCGGGTCCAAATTTAGACAAGACCATTGTTGGACGGCGGATTTTGCTTCACCCCCCTCCCCCAGTGCTGGATGAGGAAGCTTGCAAATTGTGTCATTTTACCACACCATCTAGTCAAGTTTGGCTATTCCACATAGGTTTTTCCATAAAACAAAATAGTTGTTTTGTGAGAATGACACACTCAAGCCCACAGCGGAATATTTGAAATGAATATTTCGGAATCAGATATGGTGTGGTCTTGCAGTTTGCTGGATTCCTGATCCATATATTTCAATGGTCATAGCTGAAATGTAACCAACCTAGGGCTCCTCTGGGTGATACCATGGTACCATAAGGTTATACCATGGCACCATATGAAAAACATACATGATAGTGGAGCACAGCTAAGTTGGAAGGGTAGTTTTTAGTCATCAAGGAAAACCACCAATTAAAGCACAAGGAAGAACCAATCACAAGCCAAAACTCTGCTTTTTTGTGTTTTATAGCACATCGATTCAGATAAGGATAGTCACCCACAAGTGAGAATTGAATACCCTACCCATGACATTCAGGAAAAGGCATAACTGATCAGATCAGTTATAATGTCTTGAATTGCCTTCTACTGAAGGTCAAGGATCATCCACACTATAGGGCAGTGTGCTAACTGTATCTGCCATTTATATTTCCATGTTCTTTCGTATCATATAATTTGTGGATAAATGTCACAGTGACTGTCTTTCTAATAAGAATAAATTAATTGATAATAAACAACTTTTTTAATCATTTGTCTGCATAGAATGTTATTTGTCATTGTTATGCAACATTGTTTATTGCCTTATTTATGTAATACTGTAATAGTGATTAACATCATCTGGCAATTATAGACAGTAGATACAGTAAAATAGTAATGGAGAGTATGTTAGATAGGGCCCTGTCAGGACGGGTATTCATGCCAAACTTCATCTGATTTTCAAACCAACTGATTTCACCGCTGGAAAACGTTGCCATGTCACTTTCACTTTTTTTTCTACCTTTACATGTTGCTGTCACAATAAGACAGAGTTTGTGTCAAAGATCGGTATTTTATTTCCTACATTTCGCCATTTCAAGAAACATGTCTGAAATGAATAAGCCAGTTGGGGGAACTAGAATTGGGAGTTTAATTAATAAATAAGTTACAGTACTGTATATAATATTTATAACACATCCGCACCCCACCTTCTAATGTAGGAAAACTGCATGGGGTATATCAGTTATGTGGAAACCTTTATGCAGAGCCAGACATTTTGCGAAATATTGGAGGGGCGAATTACGTTGCCGACATATGACCACCTTTTGAAAATTATTGTAAGTTACAGCTTTGTTACAACGTAGTTGCTAGTTCAACTAATTTCAGTTATTATTCAAATTTTTGGGGTGGTGACGGTTTTTCGGGGTGGTGACGGTGGTAACGTTAGGCGATGTTACATTTTTGCAATCTTCTGAAATCAAAGCAATTTTCAGCTATTTGAAATGTATGTTTAGAAAATTGTTATTGCAAGACGTACTGGCCATGGCAGTCTCCTCACCTGGGTGCTGCAACCTTTAGATTAACTCGATTGAAACTCAATCTTCTGAGGAAAAAACTCTGGATTCACCATAACCTGAAAAAACGTGACAGCTGATACAAATATTTCTGTCCATTGTTTAGGATTGTCTTTCTATTCTCACCAAGTATTCTGCTGTGCAGATGTGAAATATATAATAATTTGTTCAATATATAATACAGGTTCAGGCAAGACAACTCTAGTACAAAAAGTGGTTGATGCACTTCAGAAGAATGGTATAACTGTTCAAGGGTTCTATACTGAGGAGGTGCGGCAACATGGAAAAAGAACTGGGTTTGATGTAGCCACATTAGATGGAACACGAGGTGCTTTGGCACGAGTTGGGTACGCTTCTCTTTTCATTTTTAGTCCATTTACTTTTATTATTATGCAGAGCTATCCTCATTTAATGATATAAGAACATCTTTTGCTGTGGCCAGGCATATTTGTCAAGCCTGCCCGGTGTGGATACACACTCAGAGTAACATCACACCGCATCTTTTGCTATTATCCAAAAGTAGAGAACTCAGCCATGCAGTGGCCATTTTGTAAGGAAGAATAAGAAGCCTTAATGTCCTTGTCTTACAGGATTTACCGAAAACGCTAAAGTTTTCTAGTTAATTAGTTGGATAAAAACTGGACCCGATTTTAATAAGAAGCGTCTTTTACCTATTGGAAAGAGAAGGAGCAACATCAATTAATTTGAAAAAGATAAATTCTTCAATTTTCCCGAACAACCTTATTTACTCAGTTTAAAGGATGTTACTACCCTGGGTGCCAGAGGTTCTTCTACGCTCGTAAAGGGGGATAATAAATTTTATCACAGTCTATCCTCTATTATCCCTCTTTACGAGCGTGGAAGAACCTCTGGCACCCAGGGTAGGATGTTACTGGAGGAGCAACCAGAGAGCGTGTTTGGGAGGGAAGCGGAAGTAGAGAGCCTGGCTTGCGAGGTTGCTGGAGGAGACGATGATAAGTAATTTATTTTTATCAGTAATGTATTTATTTTACAGTAATTTAGTTTTATCAGATCTATCATTATTTGAATTTTCTCTAACTAGTTAAGCTTACCATCGAGCCGCTATCCAAAATCTCCTGTTTCCTTTCAACGTATTTATCATAGGTAAACGAAGTACTAACTACGAACAAAACCAGACGGTAAAATACCAAGAAGTCCGAAAGGGTTTATCTGTGTTTTTCAGCCCCACCCATTTATTACCTAAGCTAGCTGTACAACCCTGCTCAGGCCTGGTCATTTTAACTCTATCCCCTAAACAGCAACCAAATGGTGAATAGCATCGTTTAGGCAACGTTCAATGTAAGTGCGCTGTATTGCTTTCTATAATTGGCTAAATTACTAGATTAGAACAGTTTATATTTCCCAATCGCGGTTTATATTATTACATCATGTCATCTTTAAACAACATATGCAGAGAACCTCATGAGCCTAATGCAAGAGCATATCGTGTTGGACCGTATACTGTAAAGCTTCATTCGTTTGAAAACATCGCACTGCCAGTCTTGAGGAAAAAGGTATAATATGGACTTAATTTTCAAACACTTTTTGCTGTACCTCTGACTCTGGCGGAAATGTCAAGTGTGTTTAAGCAGCTTTCATCATGTTCCAGTTCCGTGCACTTAGAAGGCATTTAAGGGGCGGACCATTAGAAATCCCGGGAGGGGGTATAACATTTTTGCGGCACGAATTTTTTTTTTCAGTCTCATGTCTCTGCTTGACAGTTGACTGTTGGTTGAAACGCACTTATATTGACAACATGTAGTCAAGCCAATTGATTAGTTATATAGGCGAAAACAAAATACACACGTGAAGGGAAAGGGCGTCATTTTGCATTTGCGTATTGGAGAGGTTCAGTAGTATTGGAGAGGTCCTTAGTATTAGAGAGATTCAGACTTGACTTCCACTACCTCTCACTGGTTTAGTACGCATTTGATTGGTTAATCCGATCTATCAAACGCATCTGATTGGTTTATGCTCCCTTAATGCGGTAGTGGAAGTCAAATCTGAACCTCTCTATTCTATTAACTATCATGGTGGAACGTTTTTGGAAAATAAGATGCGGTTGTGCTGATTCATTGCTGCGCACATTCAGATGAAAAAAAAAACTATTAGAAAATGCACATGACTACTTATTGGGATCCGGTTTTATAAATAAGTAGTTATAGTCTTTAATTGTGGGCGCAAATGTTTTGAAAAGTGTTGAAAACAGAATGAAAGTTAAGACAAGGACGTATTTTCATTGAATGAATTTGTCTTTCTGCTAGACAGGGGTTTAATTGTTAACACCTTGAAAATGTATTTAGCCTATTAGGTGTTATTAAAGCCTGTCTAGGATGTTAAAACCAAAGTTGTGTAAATATCGTGTATGGTGTTTTATCTCACAACAGCCTAGTGCTCCGTGTGTTTATGTGATTGACGAAGTTGGAAAGATGGAGATGTTTAGTGACAGTTTTGTTCGTGAAGTCCGAGATTTGTTAGAAAACCCAAGCACCACAGTACTAACAACAATTCCTGTAGCAAAAGGCAAACCTATACCATTTGTGGAGGAAATACGTCACAGGAAAGATGCCATACTTTACCAGGTGATAAATCTGAAATGATTAATTTGCATCATCCTCGGCGAAAGTCTAAACTTTTCCATAATAATTATCTTAAATCCCAACCTCGTACGGTCCCAAAAAGACCCTGGGTACGAGGATGCTTAAATCCACCTATCCTTTCTCCTCCCATGCTCTCTCTCTAATTTTCTAAAATTTATTCAAAATATCGAAACCATCTCATTACTATCTTGCTTCTACTTTCTTGACTTTCCTGTAGCTTTTCTTCTAACTTTTGTTAAGATCTTCTCGGAGTGACATTCCTAATATCCATCGAAACATTCTCATTCGACCC